CCCCGAAAGGTTATTTATTACCGTTTTCTCTGTATTTTGGCAGCATGAGAGAAGAAAGATTGATCTCATAATTATTTAACGTTGAATTGTTTTAACATATTCTACTTATATATTGCATATATAATAATATTTTAATATTATTACATTAATATATTATTACCACATTATATTAGATTATATTATTAATATAGTAGATATAATATATTATATAATATATTATATAATATATTAAAAATTCTGTTCGCAAAAAATTATTTTTCTGTTACTCTGAAACATTCTCTATTATATTCAGAATATTCTATATGCTATTGCATTTAATTAAATCTTCTCAGTAAGTTTATCGGAAGAAATTAAATTCGTGAACATTTCGCATAATGAGTGATTTCACGTATCTGAAAATACACGATGTCTCGCTGTCCGCGGCCTGGCGTCGTGCATATCGCCATCCTTGCTCCAGGATGCTGCATCCTATGGCTGACTGCCTCGTCGTAGCGTTCCAGATACTCGGCACGTGTCACGTACACTCGCGTGGATACGACTCGATCAAAGAAACGCATGTCAATTAATGCGCTGCTTAGCGAGAATTCGATTGAATATTTCAGGCGTGTATGGCTGCGTTCATTTTGGCGCTTATAGCGCGTGTAAGCATCATTTGTCCTTGTTTGATATTTGATAGAAACAAGAATGAAATGATGCTCAGAGCGATGTTACAAGCGCCAAACGAACGCAGCCTATGTGTCGACTAGAGATGATTATTGATATTCGATATTATCGATTAATCGATATTTTTCTGGTATTCAATATGAAAATATCGAATAAAATCTTCTGGATAGAAAGTCGAATAGATAGTTTTTAATTACTCATAAGAAACGAATATTTTTCACGTTAATACCATTTTGTTTTAATGACTCAATTATAGAATTTACTTAAGGATTCAATGATTTTCTATGCAGTCCAAGGCTGATATTACATGTGTCGTACGGCAAGCTTTTTGGATACGTTGATTGGTTGACGAACAGAGAACCTAGAAATACTTTATTCGCCAACCAATAAACGTATCCGAAAAGCTTGTCGTACGACACATGTAATATTAGCCTAATACGTCGTCTACAATGACAGTAGGAGTAGTAGTAAGAAATAAGCAAATTGACCAATTCCATTTTCACGATTCAAGAATAATCGACTGTGATTGATCCATTTACTTACTGCTTATTTCTTACAGCCATACTCTTATGGCTATTATAGAATGAGCTTTAGAGCTCCGCGTAGCACATCGAAAGTATAATAATGCAAAGCACTATTTTCTCGATAGTTTGTCAGAACTATTTCGGACTTCATTACGTTTTTTAGTACACAACAGTTTAAAACAGTAGTAGTATTGAAGTTTTTTATGGTTTTTCACAAAATATTCGATATTTATTCGATATTTACACTATTCATATTCGATTAAATACTTTTAAAATTATCGAAAATATTAATATTCGATTTTTTCGTGCGATATGGACGTCTCTAGTGTCGACGACACGTGTGTCGCGTAGCGTGACGTGAACTGTACTGGCGCTCGGTCGGGGCGAGGGGGTGCGCGACGCGCCGGAATCTGCAGACAATCGGCAAGAGACGCAAGGTGTCCCGCCCCTTGTCATCAATCGTCAGCCGCCGGCGGCCCGCCCACCGGGCGCCGCGCGATAACAATCGCAACATTCCAGACGAGTCTGGACCTTTGAGACGGTCGGCGTACGCGCGTCGCGACACTTTTCCACGTGCTTCCATTGCGTTCCGCGGCAGACGCGGCATACCGCGGCGCGTTACTTCTCACACATTTGGCCCGAGTGATTAAAATATTCCGCCGACTCTGCTACATACGCGATTAGTCTCGCGTCGTGCCGCGTTATTTAATATACCGTGTATCTACGATCGGATCGTGCGAGTGACAGTGTCAGTGTCGGTGCCATGACGGAGCAGCCGGGATGTCGGGAAGGCAGGACGTAGGAAGTCGGCGCGTGGGCAGCGATACTTCGTGCATATTTCCAGGTGTGTTGAGTCATTTATTATATTTTCCGGCAGCTTTCCGTTTTTCATGAACGTTCGACGAACTTGCCGAGGATGAATAAATATCCGTGCTGAAATTTCGACCGACATTCGCGTAGCTTATTTTCGTTTGACAAATTATCATAATTTCATTAATCTCCGATTATTCATCAATCTATATTCTGGTATCTATTACATCATTTTATGCAAGAAGCATCGATCCAAACAGCTGAATAACGCGGCCCGTGACTATGAATCTGTAATTAATTATATTCTCAGTCGAAGATTCTAAAGGACGATGAGTAAAATGGAAACCGATTTTAATCCGAATTTTAATTGTAATGTAAATTATATATGTAGTCTTGTGTTTTTTTTTGGGTCGCTCATACAATGGTATTTTTATCCGTTGAAACCTGTGAGAAAATAGTCAATTCGCCAATTCGAGATAAGGTCACTTTTAATAGTAATTCGACAACGGTTTTGTTCCATACTACAAATCCGAGTGTGTTATTCTTAAACGTATAAGCGTGTAATTGCTGAAATTCTTCTCACGTCTCTTGCGGTTTTAAATCATTCAACACATTTATGATATATAAATTAGAATTTTATACGTTTGAGCGTGTTAAGTGACACGACTTGAAACATATAAAAAAAAAATTCAGCCAATTACACGCTTATGCGTTTAAAAATAACACATTCGGATTTGTAGTGCAATTATTTAGTTACTTGTATCATAGTTTAGTTTTATAATTTTTTTATTAAAAAATTAAAGAAGTACACTTTAAAATGAAATACTTCAGAAATGATAAATTTAATATAAAGAAATTAATAATATATACATATATATATATTAATTAATTAATATATTATTAATTAATTAATTATACATATACTTTGTTGATTTCGTTATGTTAAATTTAGAAAATCTAAAGTGTTTCCTTGGTGCTCAGCGAAAAAAAGTATAGAACTAAACTATAAGTAATTAAATAATTGGAACGAAATTATCACTAAGTAAATTACTACTAAAAATGACTTATTTTGATCCTTTTAAGGCGAATTTTAATCACTTTCACACGAATTCTCAGGAATAAAAATGTTTTTATCATATTCAGTTATTCAAAAAACGTAAGATTACATGTATAACTTTACACGTATACATGTATACGTTACACTTTTTAGGTTAAAGTCGGCCCACTTTACACATTCTCACTTATAGTTACAAAGCGGTCTTAAAGTTCATAGTAAATATCGCAAGCGCCGCTTTGTTTACGTCTAATAATGCTCTTCAGATCGATCTTGTTTACATCTGACAACGTTTTCTTTTCGTTTAGCTTTGTTATTGTATAGATATAAATCACTTTTGACAACACACACATACACACGGCATTATTGGTAAGGTGATCAGATTTTCCAGCCTTGAATTCGGGACACTTCATAAATGTATGAAGCGGAGGAAGGGGGATAAAAAGATCCGAAAATTATTTGACAACCATTGAAAATGATAACAAATCGGTATTCCGAATAGAACTCGAAAAAATTCGGGACAAAGGGTGAAAAATCGAGACGTCTGGTCATCTTAACTGCATCTTAGTTGTCGAGAAGGGAGGAGATTACTCCGGAATAATGTACTTACGATATGTTGTTCTAACGACCGCACGTTGTTGTTTTCGACACTCTAATACTTATTTTCGCAGGAGATTCACAGGACACAAGCGAAAGACGTATGGAATAGCGTTGTATTTATGACAGTTGCTCGGCATGAAAAGATTGCAGACGCGCGCGCTGTCAATCACGTGCATCAAAAGTTCATTAGCGCGCCGAAAGTGCCAAAAGTGCATGAATGTGAACGCGCCAGTGATGCGAACGAAATCGCGCGTCTACAACGACGCGATCTGCACGGCGGACGCCTTAACTACTTGCTCGAGTTACTAACCATTCTAGACCAATCGCGTTCGTTTCGCACTACGAGGTTGTCATCATGGTTATTCAATCTAGGCGTTGGTAATGAATCGCGCGAAATACTCGATCTTTTCGCGCCAAGCAGCAGCCATGGGCACACATCGATCCACATCGCTCCGCGTTTCTCGCGTCTTTTATTCAATGAAAGTGAGTTTCGCGCGTTAATAAGTCTCGGGAGTGTCGAGAATAGCGATGTGCGATCGCGCCGGGGCGTATCGTGAAGACGTCATTTGTAAGTAATCTTTTCGTTTCTCCTCGCGGTATATACGGCCGGTGCTTGTAGCGACGTGTCGTGCCGACATACATTTGCTAAAAACATCGACTCGCTCGAGTAGCAATAGAATCGGGCGATCGTCGGATTTATTGAACGGGAATTAGAAATGCGATAACGATTAGAGAGAAAGAGAGAGAGATGTGGAATATTCGGGCGGTTGCGTCAGCTTGTTAGAAAAAGAGATACGGAAAGAGAAGTATTTTATAGAGCGCGTTCTTTTCGGCCGCGGCGCCGTTCATACTATATATTGGCGTATATTTTCAGCGCAATTCAATAATCGCACGACCATCTTGATTCTCAATCTTTCTGCATCGAGCAACCGCCGTGGACATTGATCGACATCGTTCCGCATTTTACGCGTCTTTAACTCATCGAAAGTAAGGCCCGATCTACAATAAATGGAGTAAGGAGTAGGAGTAAGACGAAATGGAAATAATTTATTTCGCTTACTCCCTTACTCCAGCTCTTACTATTTAATTCAGGCTTACTCCATGTGATGGAGAGGGGCAAACTTTTATTGGAGTAAGAGAGTAAGCGAAATAAATTATTTCCATTTCGTCTTACTCCTTACTCCATCTATTGTAGGCCAGGTCTAAGTCTCGTGCGGAAATAAGTATCGGCAGTATCGAGAATAGCGATGTGCGGTCGCCAGGTCGTCAATGACGTGAAGACGTCATGTGTAAATAATCTTCTCGTTTTTCCTCGCCGTGTATGTAAGATGACCAGATTTCCCAGCTCTGAATTCGGGAATTCATAAATGTGTGAAGCGAGGGGAGGGGGACCCGAAAATTATTTGACAATCATTGAAATTGTAGCACTCGAAAAAATTCGGGACAAAGGATGAAAAATCGTAACTGTCCCGAAAAAATCGAGACATCTGGTCACCTTATTATTGGACACATAACTTATTCTTTCTTTAGCAGTATTATATTTGTTATACGTTCTTTTAAAAAGAATGTATAAGAAATACTTCAAATTATATAAGAATTACTTCAAATTCTATTGAGACTTCCAACGCCCGAAGAAAAGACCGAAAAATTATGAGAGTAAAAATTTCCATTCTTTATTAACGTCATATTAATATCTTTATTAAGTTATTTATTCGCTTATCTCATATGCTTTACTTACTATTATTATTAGTTAAGAATAAATTACCTAATTGATATATCGTTGACTGAAATTAAGAAGGAATATTAAATATAGGTGGGAAATATTATGTGGAAAATATTATCTCGAGATATAATAAACTTAGGTGAAAAATATTTCGAATGGAAAACATTAAGGATAATTGAATATTAAATAATATTAATCTTTCTTCGAGACTCAACACGGAGAAACATGATCATAAGTAATTGTTAGCATCATCGAGGTAGGATAGTAGCTTGCGTAATTGCATCTGGAGATTCTCCATTGGTTCTTCAAGTTCGCCAGGATTTGAATCGATGTAGAAGAAAAATTTCGCGACTCGGTTATATAGTCGTAATGATTACGCTTAAGAGTTCGGTATATTGTTGAAAGTTGTACCCTTCGTCTTTCTATTATTACACTCGATGGCATCGAAAGGAGTTTGAACTATCGCGATAGGCGATCCGCTGGATTTAACGTTAGCGTTCCGAAGCTTTGGCAACTCACGATATTGATGCTCAAACGTTTGTGCCTAGAACTTGGTCGATCTAATTCCCATAAGGATCTTAATTCCACAATTACGTTACGGCAACACGGCTCCTACAGAAGCCGTGGGTTTGTCTGGCTTTGCGGTGACTTTGCTCGTTTGGATACGTATAGACGCGCGAGTACGTTTACGTGTGCTTCGTCATGCCGACAACGGTATCGGGGTCGTAATCATGTGCGGAAAATGATCCGCGGAACCGGCGAATGAAAACGCATAATTACAGAAGTAACTCTTGCAACTGAAACGCGCTTGCGGACGAAAGCGGACGTGCTCGATTTTTTTGTTCTCATAATAATTGTCCTTTTATATATTTCACCGCGGCTATTTCGACTGCCTCTGAAGCCCGTGTCATACTATGAATTGGATATGGAGAATTGCGAATTGAAGATTAGACTTCGCCGAATCAACGAACTTCGGTCTTGGCTTGCTTTGTTCTAATTGGTCAAGTTTTAATCTCCAGTCTGCGATCCTCAGTCTCCAATTTGTAGTGTGATATGAGTTTTATGTTGTTCGCGATTAATTTGTGAAATATACAGAGGGAAAGAAAGAGTATCAATAGATATCTCTAAATGCCACTCCCTTCGAGTGTATAAAGTTGGCACCCCACTTTTTGAAATTTATAATTTTGAAAGTTGTTCCAGATTGTTTTGACTTTGTACCAACACATTGTTCCAAAGTGATATTGCTTCATTCGAAACGGTTTTCGAATAAAACAAAAAAAATGATTTTTTGAGCTGGCACCTCACTTTTCGCAAATCGAACATTCTGATACCGCAATAGATTGTTCTAGTTGTTCCAAACATTGTTTCAAAAGGACAAATCCGTAAGTTGAATTATAAGTCCAAAAAATGAAAAAAATGTTTTTGACCTGGCACCCCATTTTTTGAAAATAAAGCATTCCGATACCGATATAGATTGTTCTAGTTGTTCCAAACATTGTTCCAAAAGCACAAATCAATAAATTTAATTATAAGCCCGAAAAATTAAAAAAAAGTTTTTTGACAAACAGTCTATCGGACCAAGAGTAAACTTATACTATCTTTCTTGTTCCAACCGAGATCTTTTTGTTCTGAGTTGTTCTAAGCTTAAGAATTATAG